ATAATTATAATATATTATTAAATTAATAAATATATAATTTTAAAAATTAATTTTTAACTAAAAAATTAATTATATAATCTTATACCATAATTATAAACTTATAATATCAATTGATATTATAATTACACTATCATTTTTCATAATATTAAGTTGTGTTTGTATCATCTTAGTGTTCTCTTTCTATCGTTCGAGTGCATCTCTGTTATTATTATTTTTTTAATAGGGATAATCACGAGTACGGATATTTTCTTAACTTGGTGGCAAGATGCCATATCCGGAAATACTGGAAGTGATAAAAGTTTAAGATCCGAATTAAGACATTTTATTTTAGTTTAAATTTTAGAAAACTCTGTAAATAGAGATAATATTTTTTTATTACATAATTATTACAGTAATTAAAAATTACTTTCATTAATATACTCGTAATAGAACTAATAACTTAAGTTGTTTGGTAGTAATTTATTTTTAATAATAATAAAAAATTTAAATTTAAATCAGATATCATTCAAGTGAAAGGGGACTGAAGATAGAAATAATTATATATTATTATGTAACTAAACATCAGAAAAAATAATAATAATTTATTAATTTAAGTGAAAAAAATTTAATTTAATTATTGATAGATTAAAAATTAATTTTTATTTTTTAATATAAATTTATGATAAAAAAATTGATACATCATTTAATCCAACACATGCGAACATCCATTAGTTCTGCCTTTTAGCCAAAAAAAAGTTTTTTCTTTTTATTTTAAATAAAAATAATAAATTTTTTAATAAATTTGTTGAATAGAAAAATATCTATATTAGTGTCCAAAAAAATATTGATTACACTCTTAATATGTGCATTAGAGACCCAAATTAAAATTTTTTAATATGTTAAAATCTCATTTTAGTTCTCCTATTTCAATAAAAAGTTTATTTTTATTTCATTTACTTAAAAAAATCCCTTTTAGTTTTTAAATTTTATTATCTGATCCTCTTTTAATTCTTCCCTTATCTTTTTATACACATAACACATTAGATGACAAAAATTTAAAAATAAAAAAACTAAAAAAAGATTAGAAAAACATTTTTGACTCCTCTACTTAAAAAAAAAAAAGCTCTTTTAGTTTCTTTACTTTAAAATTTCTTCTATTTATATGCAAAAAGATAATAAAGGGAATAAAACGAAGTGAGATACTAAACTTTAGGATTAAAAAACAAATTTTTCTTAAGTAGATGGACTAAATTTTTTTGTTAAAATAAAAAAATCAAAATCAAGTTTAAACTATTCCATTAATAAGTTATATTATTTTTTAATAAAAAATAAATTATTTTATCCTAAAAAATGGAAAAAGAGATGTAAAAATAAAAGCTGACTAAATAATAATAATAATATAGTGATACTTTTGCAACAAAATTTCACAAAATATTAGAAGTATAATTTTTTTTTGAACAATGTTATCATGGAGCGGGTTCAAACCCATCTAAAGAGGAGGGAGATGCACCTCAAGATAGCTGGAAGCTACTTGAACCGAAAAGTTTGATGCATTAAAAGCATAATTTTTTTTTAAACAAATTCGTATAAGGTCGGATTCGAACCGTTGTCCAACAAAAAAATGTACTTATTTTATTAGTTCTTTGTACTCAAATAAATATAAAACCCCTAAATCAATTCTATACATCTACTGGTCAATTTTTACTGTGAACCTATCACTACTAGAAATTAGACAAAAAAAAAATCAATAATCAATATACGCTGGACACTGTGACACAGTACATGCACGCAAAACAAATCAGCTTAAAAAGATAAAACGAAAAAGACCAAACATTCAAATGGAGGAGGGGAGGGCGCCCACAACCAAAGCAAAATTAGTCCGCTGTGGCCTAAGCCTATTCTAATCATTAAATTTATTAAGATTATTAAAAGTTGTGAAATTTTTACAATAATTTAATTATTAAAATTAATTAAAATTTAATAAAATGATTAATATTTACTTTTATTATTTAATAAATTAAAATTAATTTACAAATTTTTTAAAATATTATAATTAATTATTTAAATTTTATAAATTATTAAAATTATAATTAAATTAATGATCTTAAATAAAATTATGATAGTAATTAACAAGCTGAAGTCGGCAGCTGATACGAAGAAAATGAATTGAGAAAAAAGAAAAAAAGAAAAGAAAAGAAAAGAGAGAAGAAACATCATGATTTAATAAAGAAAACGACATATACCAAAAAATAAAGAAAACGACAAAAATAAAGGAGTGGTACTGGAATTTTCGAGGAATCGAACGAACCAGTTGATTTCTCTTTTACCCACCGCCAAAACCACTCGACTCCTCCAACTTTCTCGCAATTTTCATCATCCAAACATCAATCAAAGTGGTGGTCGGATTTATTTAATTATGATCCACAGCTGTTTTTTTTTTTTAAATTATGATCCACCGCTGTTAGCATCCCCTGAACATGGCTATTATTATGACCCGTGTTACTTTGTTGAAATTATTTAAAAGTTATTTAGTTAAATTAATATTTTATTAATTTAATTATTTTTATTATTATACTTTTTTAATTATAAGTACTTTTTAATAATATTTTTATATTTCTAAGTTCATTATATAAATGACTAAAAGCACAGAACTAAAATAATAATTCAAAAAATAAT